TCTGATCAGAATTTCCCTGCGTTCGCTATCATTTCTCTACTTGTTATAGGGTTTTTAACAACGCATGGATCCTATCAATCGCGGTGCGCAGGCTGTCTTGATCCATGCTGGTCGCAAACCCATTATGTTGGTTTTGTCATGACGTGGCTCATATAAAATCTCTGTTGAAGATAAATAGATTGGCGAAAACACTTTTGACATCATGACTCCGTTCTCATCAAGACTTCGCAGACGTTCTTTAATCATTTTTTATTGTTAATTAAAGACGTTTTTAAAGGGGGGGGGGGGGCTTCTTTACAATATAGGCGCCGTGCTTAAAATACTTATGTAGAGATACATTAATTTGTTAAGCACTTCGTTTAAAACAAACAAAAGTAAATTAACATTTATTTCGTATACGATTCCTTTGTTTATTCTAATCCAAAATTCCATTTCAAGTTCGATATATTTTTTTGTTCGATTGGCATAAAATGCATCACAGTTGGTGAAACATTTAGCACAAGAGTAGGTGTGAATAAAACGCACGATTTATATGAACTCTCATCATTAATTTATTGAGTTTGCTTTGTAAATATTACGGGATATTGAATTCCAATGTATTTGATGTATTCGCTAGAATATTAATTGATATCACGTTAGAAGAAAATTCTGCTGTATCTATAATTTAATATGCATAGTTACGACCTTGCCATGAATACATTTTGTTTTATAAAAAAATGAATTCCATTTAGTTTTGGCATTTCATTTAAGCTAAATTCTGAAGAAAAAAGTGCTTATTTTGAAACACTGTAGAATATAGAGAAAAAACGGTCCCTAAAGAACGCCCAAAACGACAAAAGTGAAAATTTTGCAGGCTTAGTTTGATTGAGCCTGTTCATGGACAGTACTGGAAAGTGCAAGTGACCGTTCATGCCCCTTGCACCGGCTACAGCCAAATTCAACATCTAATCATGGTAATCCCTAGATGTGTTCATACGGCGATTTTTATGGAACCTTTAATGTGAAACGTCAGTGCCATTGCATGAAAAGCGGCAATGGTCCCCAATTTAAAAAATGCATGTGCCATAAACGAGAAAATGCTTCAGAGAACTAAACAATACTGTGATCATGATGAAACAAGGTCGTGGCCCTAGTAGGGTTCAAACCGACCATCCCTGGGCTGAAAGGCAGACACTTTAACCGCAAGGCCACCGGTGTCTTGAATGAAAGTTTTATTTCATAAATGTTTATTAAAACACACAGTTTATTTCGTATACTGTTCATTACCTGAGGGAAAGGTTAAGAGAGATATTTTCAGATATTCAGATTACCTGTTTTTTCTCATTAAAAAATTCAATCAAACCTGGAAATCAATTTCACTCATTTATTTACTTAATTGCCCTAGAGGGTTCTCACTCTTTAAAGTACTATGTCACAATTATAATGATGTAGGACTATTGTATAATCTTACCCACGAATAAATTACATAAGAAATTAGATTAAGAAATTATTAAATGAAATCACTTATATTTTAAATTAAATGTGTCTATTGAGGAATAATTCGTTTCTTATAACTACTTATTAATGCAATTTATTTTCATTTGATATAAAAAACCTGAAGATAATAGAAATTGTAATTTTATTAAGGCAGTTCAAATGAATAAGTTTATTAAAAACATGATTATAGCCCTTAAAACAAATCAATGATAATTATAAAAAGTCTCATTTATTGTTATTGCTTCAAAGGTTATATCCGGATTAATTTGTTTATCTAATTGCTGACAATTTAAGGCAGTGCCCGCACGAGTAAGAATTTTTCCCTAGGTGTCCTTAGCCAGTAAACATTGGAAAGCGATCATGCTGTGAATTTTGTAGTATTTGTGCATAGTATACGTTAATACGTTATTTTTTACAGCCAGAGAGGAAAATCATTAAAAATGTCATAATTACTTTATAATAAAATAGCTTATCAAAATTAAAGTGAAAAATTCTACTTTTTAATTATCAATATTTGCCTATCCTAACTCCCAAGTGGTCGTAATCGGGCAAATATTTTATTTTCTCTACGTTTAATGTTTTAACGTTCATCTAGGAATTTAAAGTTTGTTTTTAAATTTCATTATCATGGGATTGTGGTGTAATTTAAGAAATATTTTTGGAGAATAAGGCATTTTAATTAAATCACTTACGTAAATTATATTAAATTACTAATTAAAATTGTATAACCAAGATTACAGGGAGATTGCTGAGCGCAACAATTTCGGTGTAAAAAATTCCACATAACGTTTATGGTATATTAAAAGAATTAGAATGAAACCTAATACAAACTGCTTTGTTTAAAACTAATGGATAATTATATAAACTGTTCTGTAGAAACGTGTCTGTGGAAGGCTTAATGTCACTTTACTTTAAGAAAAGATTAACACTTGGCGAGTTTGAATAAAATATTGTCTATTTAATATGGTTTTGGTCATGATTAATGTATTATGATAAATCATGTAATGGGCTTTGGCGGTCGATTTTGCTTAGTCCAATTTACTTTTTCTTAACCGCTTTTGGTTCAAATTGCAACAAAATAATTTATTTCTGCAATATAAGGCACTCCAGATAGTTTACGGAAGGAAGATGATTCTACTATGGACCCAAAATTATATGTGTTAAAATAAAGCTTAAAACAAAAGTAGTCCTGAAAACGTAAATCGTGTTACATGAGCATATTATATAAGAAAATCTCTAGCAATGCTTTCAGATAAAATAGACTTTCAAGTGCAGCAAAAAGGATTTTACTTAAAAGTATAAAAATAATTTGGAATAATGTTTTTTTATCTAGGTATGCAATTATATGTAAAAATGTCCCTCTTTATCTGCATGTGTCCTCTTTTTTTAAAATTAAAATTACGTTAGTATTATTTATTATTTTCTGAAGTTCTGGACCGTAGATCAAAGATGACGTAAAAGTAATGCTTTATCACTATTCGGAAATATTACACTTAAATATCTGGTTTTTATTCACAATTTTCATATTGGTTAAGGTATTGTTGCATAGTTTTACAAACGGTGATGTGTAATAAAAATATATATATTTTGTAGAAGTCAATATCAATACATAATATTAACCCCCAACTTTAGAAGCATGAATTATTTGAAAAAGGCCACTATTGTGACATAAGAATCGTTTAGTGGTTACACTATGCTTGTATTTGAGGACGACTAAAGGTAGTTCAATATAACAATATTAGCATTACCTATAAAGCAATTTATGACATTGTCAGTTGGAAATAAAAGAGAGAAAAAATCATGAATTGTTAATGCAATATTGAGCAAGCGATTGTTGTCAGATCATAACAATTGTGATACTTTCAAACAAAACAAATGATTAAAGCAATGGAGATGTCATAAAAATGATGGCGATATTGATTAAAACAAGATAGCGTTAAATGCAAATGCAAAATGTTTGACATGATATACTCGAAAATAAATTACTAGATATTGTATTTTCATTTAGTGCTCTATGAGCAAAATCAGTATCGAGTGAAATGCAATATTTTGTTAAGTCAAGAACATGGAAAATATGCTCATGTTAAACGACTAATGGTTAAACAAATTCTGGAAAAGGAAAACAACATATTCTTGAAATATCGACGGGTGGGAGTATTTAAAAACAGGAATGGTCAAACTTATGCTGTACACATCTTTGAATAAACTATTGAATTTAAAGTTGAACCTCTCGCAAGAAGATAAAAACACCTTTTGTTTCCTAATATTTTGTTACCTTTTCTCCAAAGCTATATGACTGGGGAAGCAATGGTTTGAAAGAAATAAAACTTATACTTATGCCCCGTACTTCACTTCAGTGTTGTTATATTTTCTGGTCCTTCGGGATTATTGATGCCAACACTATAAAGTGTTGAGAATTGAGTACCGCTCAAGCCGGTTCTAGGGGGCGTGAGGGATGTTGCACTTATTCATTATCCCTCATGTACAGACTCAATCAAACCGAGCCTGCAATTCTTTTTTATGTTATATTGTTGTGATTAATGCTTCCGAGGGATCACTTTGTTTCTAGAATTTTATATAAGAGTGCGTATAATCAAAATTCTCTCATGAAAAGATTATCTTTGTATATTTTTAGAGGGAATGGTTCATGCACAAAACTACTAAACCCTACTTGTAATAGCAGCATAATTTTGTTTAAATATATGCATGTGTGACATACTTTGTTATAATTGTTACAAAATTGAAAAAATGTTTTACCGCTTATAATTTTTAAAAAAAAAATTGACATAGCTTTATACCCTTTAAGACTACACGAGAAATATAAATACCAAGAACGGCCCTTTTTCATTCAAACATATCACTTTTGTTTTCCCTGCATCCATACAAGTTCGTCCTTGCTGTGACTTCCAATGTATAAAAACATAAAAATACCAAAGACCAAATAGCGCTACATGCTTTATGCTTAACATCATTATAACTATACTCATCCCAAATTTTGTGATTCATTATGGACATTTCTGCATATTTTATCACATTTTAATCTATTCTATGCGAAATGTAAGTGCCTTATGGTAGCTTTATTTACTATTTCGTACTTTTAACATAGTATTTCCAAATTTTCATGAATAGTCATAAGTGTCTTGATATATGCTACTGTAACTGATTTTATATTGTACCTGATATGGATTTGCCAAGTGAGCCTTCTATAGTATTTGTTCTTTGCTATTTTAAGAACACATAATTTAATAATAACGGCCTATTGCAAATACAAATACATTTCAAATAACTCTTTAGACAAAAAAAGTGCATATTGACTTTTTGAATTGGTATCTCAGATAAAAAGGCGAATTCTGGGTTTTTAGGTCGCCCTGCGACTATAGTTTCATATCAGCATTATAAACTTAATAAAAGTTTTGATAAATTATTCAGAAGCTGTCAGTCGTTTTGTTGTTCTATGCCCGAATAGTTAAAACAATGTTATTTGAGAGTTTGTAATGCTCATAAATATATTCATATCTTTCCAGACTGCATGACGTAAATGTTCCTAGATGGGGTATACAAAAGTGTTATCAGCGGTTTTTGTTGCAATTTGCACGTGGCTTGTTTACGTCAAAAGCGCACAAATAGGTAAGATGCAAGCATTGTTGTTTAGTTCAATATATCTATTATTTTGGTGTTGTATTTCAACTATGATTGGCGGCGAATGTTTAGATGAAAAATGATATTGTATACTGATATATAAATCCGATTTTGTTTTCAATAGTTTTATTGATTTATTTTATAATAATCATCTACTGTTGAACAAAGGACAATATTTTCCCACACATATTATCCAATGTAAACGATAAAATATAGCTTACAGAAATTACTCCCAGTTGCAGTTATACTATACTGCTCAAAACTGTTGTAATTTCTAATAATTACTGTTTAAGTTAACACATTGAACAGTTTATGATACATTAAGTTTTGTTTGCATTGTTCAGTGATGAATTGGTCATCTGAGTTGAATTATCGAATTGAAACATAAGCATAAAATTATTTAAGCGGGAAAACTTGAAAAATTTTAAATTGCCGGAAATTTGTAAAGGCTGCATGGAATAAGTTTCAATATCTTTTATGGTGTTCAAAGACATTAATTATCATCTGACAGCGCCTGGGGATGCTGTAAATGAAACGCCTGATATTCAATTGTGGAATTCTGTTCCACTCATCTTGTAAGGCAACGCAAAGTTCTGCAAGAATGACCGATCTAGCAGGGCGATAAGAATTGAGCCTTAGAAGCATGGCCCACACATGAACCATCGGATTAAAGTCTGGGGATCTGGCATGCCAAAGCAAGAGCTCGATTGTTTTACGTGCAAGGTATAAGGAAGTGAGGCGAGTAGTATGTGGGCGAGGATTGTCTTGGGCTACAATAAAATCTGGACCCACTGCATATACATTTGGCCGTACTTGAACGTAAAAAAAACACACAAAAAAACTCGCATTAAAACCCTTTTGCTGTCAATGTGCTAATATAAAAAACTGGAGGTCCGTTTTACAATTGGCAATTATTCCTGCCCATACCATGAGAGACCCTCCGCCATAACGGTCGTATTCCGAGATACGAGTAGGTGCAAAATGTTCAAGTTGTTTGACAGTTCTAAACACAAAGCTGGACCATTATGAAAATATTTGTATGGTAAATGTCTAATACAAGTAAAAAATGATTTTATAAAAACATGACAACTTGTTACATTCAATGATTATCAAATATAAGGGTATAAACATGATTGTTATTGATTGTGTTACAACCCATGCCGACATTTTATTATTGAATGATGTGTAATAACGTTTAAAATCAGAGCACACACATTTGATCAGAAATCCTATTCAGTACTGCACTAAATGTTAGATCTACAACAAAACATTCATTGACAGTAGTTAACAACAGAAATTAATTTGATATTAAGTTAACATAAAGACATAAACGAAGGCAAATTACTTCCCGGGTTTATAGCAATACAATAAATACAGACAAACTAATGAACTATATTATTGATTGACCGTTCTCTTTATTCTAGGTTATTTCAATTCTGTAAACATTTTATTCAACCATACCGTTAGTTTAAGTTGATTTGCTGACATGATTTGTCAATTATATTTGAAATTTGAGAATATGTTTATTTTGCAATTAAGGGAACAATTTACTAGTCTGCATATTGTTGTATTTAGAAATATCTAACAATGCTTTGTTATTATTATTGTTTTACATGACCTTTAACGGGGGAAAAGGACTTTGAAATTGACTTAAAGGTCCATTTGTCCCACAAGTACATTTATTTTTATTTTCAAAAGCTCTTTTTTGTGTCCATTTTTAGTGTCCAAAAAGTAACTCATTTGCCAATTATCTGTTCTACTAACTTATGGTATTTAGTACAGTTATAGTGATTTATTATTTTAAATGAAGTCAAAATACTAATTTGTTTACATTTTGCCACTTTTAAGACTCAATATTTTACGATACTTTCTTCAATTAATAAGCATCTAACATGCTCTAAAACAATCCTTTAAACATTTAAAACTTAATTTTGGCATTTCTAAAGAAGGAAAAATCCTTTGTGAGGTATTATATGCTTTTAATGAATAAAAACTAAAAATATCAAGACCACTTCATATCTTTATATGCATATTACATGCTTTATCCATAAATGTTCAAACTTTTATTAGGATGGTAAAAGTAAGATATAAAATTGTCAAAGCATGGAACCTCGACATCGCGGAGCCCGTTCGACGCGACGCCAACAACGTCAATTATGATGTTACAAAATACTTGATGCAGGCTTGCATTTTATTTATTTTGTTACTGAACCGACTGCTAGTATATTTTGCCATGCTTATACCCTTGCTGTATCACGTAAAAGCTTTCTATGTCGACAGGGTGCACTTTTCGTTATATATAAATTTGATTTGATATATTTCATTACTTAAAATTACTACTTTCCTTACGATTTGAATAATTGCATACCTTGAATTGTCCGAGTGAATTATCACATGTAAATATAAGCGGTGTCCCACTGAGTTCCGTTTGTATATTCGATTTTGTGTGTGTTTTAATTCAGATTACGATTTACGTTTATATGTTTATTCACGTTTTGGTGTATTCTTATAGGATGTAAAAAGGCCTATCTGAAAACGAACTGAAAAAGGTGTGTAACAGGATTGGTACATCAATTCATTAGTTTAGATAAATGAATGAAGAACGCTAAAAAGTGCAATATTGAAAATGTTGCAGGTTTGGTTGAGCATGTTTATGAACTGTAGCCGTATTGGAAAGTGTATGCTACAGTCCATCCCTATCACCGCCTTCGGCAGAATTCAACATTTACATTTAACATAGAGTGGAAAAAAATTTGATTTAAGAACACCCGCAAAAAGTTTTTTTTTGTGGTTATAAGGGTATTTTCAATATGACACGTTAGTGCCATCCTATTGCCCTCAAATGAAATCAACGAGAAAACTATTGTAGAACAAACTAAATATAATGGTATTTTGAAAGAGAGTTTATGTAGCTTGCATGTCACAGACAAGCTGCTAAAGACACATTTTAAAATCAATTAGCATATCCTAAGGGTGATTATACAGTATTCAAATAGGAATAATGTAACCAACCAACTAGAAAATATTTTTTGTGAGAAACACTCATCGGTGACATGTGTGATCAAGCTTTTCTTGATACCCCCCTTTAACCGTGTAAACTTTGTACAAAATATGTGGAATTATGATCATGTTAAATTACATTTTTTAAGCTATTTTTGTTATTATAACTTAAGCTCTTAGTTCATTGCTTTTTTGCAAAATGTATCAATTTAAGAGATTGTGTATATACATGTATTCATACATTGTTTTACCTTACAGTACATATCAATAGCATGTGATATATATAGCAAAACAATTTAATTATTTGAAACATATGTTGACCTTTCAAAACAAACGTTTATCGAAAAGCAATAAATGAAAATTGACTGCGTACGTTTCATGTTTCTAGATTATGTATAAGACATCAAACTTTGTATTTACTAGTATCCATTCCTTTACAAAGTCTGCAATTTATTATCTTTGTCGTATTGCTAGACCTTTAAGGTTTCAATTTTTGTCTTTTATGTGCAACAAAAATGATACAACAATGCCCTTATGTGTGTCTATCACTACCAACAGTTTAATTGATTATGCCAGAACAATATACAATGAAATGTATTCATGACATTATGATCTATGAAAAGTTCTTTTGATTTGGTTCATCATATTTCATTTGTGAGACTTAGTATTTAATTTAGTTGTTACTTCTTTTTTCATCAAACTGATGAGTCAATTTTTCCTCTTTTATCATTACACAAAAGTTTACGAATGCATTCATATACATAAATTGTTAACATACCACTAAAGCTTGGGGGCGTGAGGGATGTCGCACTTTTCCATAATCCCCAACGAACAGACTGAATCAAACCGAGTCTGAAATATTTTCATATTATACTACTGTTTTTATTGCTCTCGAGGGATCTCCGCTTTTCCATATTTTTATATATTAATTTCAAAACTTTTTTGCACTAGAAATTGATATTAGTTTCCATATCTTTAACGACAATTAATTATTATGAAAATTAGGTCATGTTCTCGTAAAATGGCGTCAACTTACGGTTGCATGAGTTCAAAAATGACGTCGTTTGCTATGGGCACTATTTTCTGGTAATGTTCGGATCAATTTCAGAAATCATGTTGATGCTATTAAGATGAAACTGAGATAAACTATTAAACTGAATTCAACATATTGACAGAAAATGTCTAGACTGTGTCATCATCACTAATGGATTGTATATTCTGTGAGTGATTTCTCATAATAAATTGACCTCTATAGATCTATATATCTCCAGTATGTGCTAACTCAGTAACAATACTAATGAAATTGCTTAAGGGTAAATTTTTGCACTGATTTTTAATATTCACAATTTTACTATTGTCATTTATAAATATTGAATACTGCTTAAGCTGTTGCTAGAGGGCTTGGACTTTGACTTGCACATACTACAATTGTCAATGACAATTCTCAATCAAACCTAGTGTGCAACATATTCAAGTTTTTTTTAGGTATTCCTTTTTCTATATTTTATCACTTTGATATATGCAATCATGTTTACCACTGGATAAAATATCCGAAATGTAATTGCACTTGTCTCAATATTCTGTTTCTGCATATAATGACAATTCTGAATAGATATAATTGTATTGAAGTCTGACATCAAGCATGCATGATTGTTTAATTTTACTTGACTTCAAATGGCTTTGTCGGAGATAGGATGTCCGTATTGCGGTCCTATAAATATATCAGATGATGTTTGAATAATGTCAATACGTGTTATCACTTGATTGTTTCTAAGAAATATTTACAATTTTCTTTACTTGCCATAACGTTTTATTTAACACGTATGTACTGAAGCATTTTAAGCAAATAGATAATTGTTCAAAACTATCATTATTAGTCGTATTAAAAAATTTGATTCTGGTTAAATAGACGAAAACGGAATCCCTAAAAAACTCCGGGTTTGCATAAAGACAATAAAAACCCGCACTGTTGTGCAGTTGTGCAGATC